AATTAGTGTGGGCTGAACAGAATAGGCAGTGACTTGTGCTCCATTTGACCAAAAACATTTGAGAATAGTAAAAGCAGTTTAATTATGTTCAGATGCTACGGTGATATTTGGCAGTAGAATTACCTTGGAACAGTTATATTTAGAGATTAAGTTAGGATAAAATAGACAGATGGGAAATRGGGAGGGGAAGAAAAAAGACCAATAAAATGCAACTAAAGTTCTAGCTCAGACCTGTAATTAATTAGCCTGGAGAAGGAATTGCAGTAGAACAGATTGAAAGATTTAAGAGCAGCCTGGTGACCTCTGAAACAGTTAATCTTTGCAGTTAGATTAGACCTCATAGTTAGTCAGAGAATCATGGAATCCTCTTTCTCTGTTTTCATGGATTGCTAATTTAGATGCTTTAGGCTTCTTCAATACAATGACACCACATTCCTTTAATGACAAAAAAAAATCAATTACACAGCACACAAGATGTAATTCCTTATAAATCTTTCACTAAGAAAGCAAACCTAATGAAACTGTACATGCAATGATGCTTTTAGTTGAAACATGTTGGGTCATGTGCTTGCTTCCACAGCACACAGGAAAGCAAAACATTCAGGAAAGCAAAATGTGCCAGAGGAAGAGGAGTGTAAAAGCAGTCATTTCCCTTAAACACTCCTTCCTGATCAAGCACCACAGCCTTCCGGGGGTGGATAGGGGAGAAGAGGAAAACCTTGGGGTCTCTGAAACATMATTCTCTTAAGACTGGAGGCAGATTTCTAACTGCAACCCGACAACAAATCTCACTCACAGACAGTCACGAGGGACTAGAACACGCTCTCTAAGGGAAAAAGAAATCCCTGGGAAGACAGAAGAGATTCCCGCTTCCTTGCCAAGATCCTACATTCTGCACAGTATACTTGTTTCACAGTGTAAAGAGGCACTTAGCCCTTCTCCTGCCTCTGACTGGAAGTATTTTAGATTAAAATTTGCAGGATTTCTCCGTTTCAGAAAATGTGACATGAGGTTTTGAACCTTTTGATGGTAACATGCAGTTGTTTCTCCCACTGGCCTGAACCAACTTTGAACAAGAAGTTTCTCAAGAATGAACACAGTTCTTTTGATGTCTGCCATCACCTCTTCTAAAGTTCACTACTTTACTCTGGATAGCTCAGAAAAAACCCAGGAAGGAACGCTTGTGGGAAACAATGTGCAACCTGGTCCCTTGAGTTTCCATGGGTTTAGAGGCAGTGTTACATGCTGGAACTACGGTATTGCACACAGCACTTTTCTTGCCAGGGAAGCTGCCTGTGAGATGAGATAAAACTGAGGACCTGACCACTTTGTGAGCAGTGTAGATCCCCCAGCGCTTTTTGCAATAATGAAGCTGTTGGCTCTGACACCTGCGCTGTTTCAGCTACCGGAGGGTGTGAAAGAGAAAACCCAAACCTCCTAGAGCAACATCCATCAGTATTGACGCAGCATTTGCAAGACATTTAAATAATATATTGTGAAGGGCAGCCAGGAATCTTACATGAATTAGACTGTAGTTTCAGCTCAGGTAATCAGTTTCTATTTAYCCAGTTTCCAAAATCCCCTGGAAATCCTCCTGTAACTGGTCAGATGGTTATTCAAGTTAGAATTGCTAAAAAATAAGGGAGAAGAATGATTAGGAGTGATTCTCCCACAGAACTATTTTGTAGTTCTGCATCATTGTCATAGATGCAGACACAAATCTGAAGCCTCCTCAGTGCTGAGCCCACAATCTAGAAAGAAATAGAAAATGATTAGAGAAGATGAAACAAGGTATACATTCATTAAATATATTAATGCTCAAAATATTAAATGAAACAACAGTTATTTCCAACTGTTTTCAACTTTGTTCTTGATAATTACACATCATTATAAGCATCTATGAACACTTAAGGAAAACTGTATACCACAAAGTGACATTGCAATTATATAATTTAATTTAATAATATAATTACAGAGGGGCTCAAGGCTCAGAGTGAAATTACCCTGAAACCTAGACCAACCCAGATATGAGTCAGCCTGAAGAGCTTTAAACAGAGATCTGGAGGACAGCAAAGCTACCTTTACTTTTTTGTTTCCTTCTCTTCGGTTGTTTAATTATAGCAGCACCTAAGATTTACGAACAGTTTAAAAATGCAGGAGAAACAATCTGAAAAGACAGACAAAGCCTGGTTTCTTAATTGATATAATATAATTAAATGAGGCAGAATTATAGTCCCTATTCTTAGGAATGCTTTGGGGCAATTTTTTTCAGCAGGAAAGGTTTATAAATACAGTCTCTTCTACAAATTGCACTGTCTCTAGGTAAACAGAGATATCCTGGGTGCATATGTTTGTTCAAGGATTGCCTGAACCCACCAGATTAGGAATTTCAGCAGCAGTAACCAGCCTTACTGGTCGAAGGGGAGCTGTTAGTCCCTTATGAGTAAAACAGCTGTTGTCTGGACCAACTCTGAGAAAGGAACAACAATTTCCAAAGCTAAATCCTCAGATCTTCATAGCTTGAGGACCGAAAGAAGGCTTTAGAGTTAGCAGCTGTAATGATATCGCGTGCCAATGAATGGATGTGAAATGAGACACGAGTTGACAAGTGACTCTGCTAAAAACATAACTAGCATTTTTAGAACAATGTCAACCAACAGGTTTTCTGAAAAAGAGAAGAAAAAACTCCTACACAATACAGTTTTCTTCATTCATCATCTTATATTTTTGCATCAGATAATCCTTAAGGTTAACTTAAAATGTTGGTTGAGCCAGGCAGATATTGCAGAGGAGAGTTTCACCAATCAATTTGTGAAGCACGGTGTTTTTATCAAGACATATATCTATTTCCAAAAATACTTTTCCTATGACATCCATAGTGCTAGAATCAGTAGCCCTGGCCAAAAGCTCCCATTTTCTTCATCTTCCTGCAGCACTTTCAGAGTTGCTTGTGTTTCCAACACACCCTGGTGTCTTCATTCTGTTAAATGAGTTCTTAATTTTCACTCCAGCTTTTGTAGGGTAATTATGAAGAGAGCTCATCCAGTGGTCATCTGACCTCCAGCATGGCAGCCTTATTTAGGTTTCTACCTCACTAGACAAAGAAAGGACTGCTGTTG